GACAAAATTATATTTGAAAAACATTTTCGTTAATGATAAGTAATTAATAATTTGGCTCTATATTTACTATTGAAATACTTGTTTACATACGTCTCGTGAATTTCTTATCTACGGGGATTCACTCTGTCTACATTAATTTTCACTATTGTTCATAATAAATTCGAAAATAATTTAGCAAGATATAACATATTTTTTTTATTTTTTGTAAAAGAATATTAATACAAATAGATAAAACACTAGGGGTAAGTGATATTTCGCCCTACATGCAAGTTGCATAGTTTGCCTTCCGATATGTGTAAATAATCGTCAATAAAAATCAACTTTTAAATTGACAGATTTTGGAATTTTGACACGGTTCATTATTCTAAATTTTGATGATTTTCATAATTAAACCAGTTCCGGACGATCTTTACCAAAAACTAATCAGCACAATTCCCAATAGTGGAATATTTGAAAAAAATATAATATTGCATGTACATTTATATTTAAAAAATCAAATTTAATTTTTTTTATCACTTACCTGTTTGAGGTCCTATTTAAATCCATTTATCCTATGAGTTCAGTTGTGTTTTTCTTAGTTGTAACCATAGACAAAGGAAGTTTAATCAAACTCAGTCACATTGTAAGTAGCAACAGCAAATTGAATATCTCGTAATCCTAAACCGCCTCCCAAAATCCTAATTTTTCCAATTGGGGTTGTCTGTCTAGCAAAAGTTCTGCATAGGTAACAACCGAATGTCCATTATCATCATACCCAAAATTATAGGTCATAGTAAATTTGTCAGTTTGATTTCTATGGTAATGATTTTTGTATACCAGTCTGTCACCTGAAACAAAATTACATGTTGTAGTATATAATCGAACTATATTTTTAATTTTATAATACCTTCTATTCTTTTGCCAATCCTGTAGTTGATTGTGTAATCTTTTCCCATTCTTCGTTTTCATTTGTACAAAAAACCGAACTATTATTATTATTATTGCCAAAGCACAAAATTATATTTGAAAATCATTTTGGGATATGATTTTGCTAATATTGAAATTCGCTCTTATATATTCTTGCAAACATTGTTTACATTTATCTTGTGACTTCTTATCTGAGAGTTTTATATGCCTAAAATCGTATTCACTATCGCCTGTCTTTAATTGTAAAATATGTTTTTCACCATTCTACACACTATTCAAAAATTATTAAAACAAGATGCCTGATACAAGAATAGATTTAATAAAATCATAAAACGCCACTTTCTTCTATACTACATTGATACAGAAACATATCAATCATCAATAATAGTTTACAATAAAGACAAATAGTTTTGTTTATCTATTTATTACTGATTTATCAATTATATCCATATATATAAGTAGTCAAATCAAATAAAGTAGTATTTAAAGTGGAGACTGCAAAATATATTTCACGAAGCCCTACTCCTCCCTGCAAAAATTTTAATTTTCCAATAGGAGTCGTTTGTCTAGCAAAAGTTCTGCATATGTAATATAGTATGATTATTATCATGACTTCCAGGATTGTGGGTCATAGTAAAAGGATCTGTTTGGTTCCTGTGATAATGATCCTTATACACTACCCTATCACCTAAAAAAACATATGCACAAAATATAAAATAAAATATTAATAAATAGAGCTTGCAATGAGAAAAATTACCTTCAACTCTCTTCCCAATGCTATAATTGATAGTGTAATCAATATTCCAACCATCTGCATTTTCACTTGAACAATAAGAAATGCATAACAGGACGATTATTAATGTCCACAAAAGGACTTTGATATTTTTATTAAACATTGTGATTAATAAATGAATAAATCATTAGGTACTTTTTACCTTATATATGAAAAATCTCGTGACTTTGCTTATCTCAGGGAATTCACCGTCTAACGATGCATTTAGATATTTATTCAATTTTAAAGAATTGATATATCATTAGTATAACAATGTTAAAATCTTATACTCATTATATATCAATTCATTTTGGGTTGAATAATTATTTGTGAATATTAGAAAAATTCAATGCAATGAATTTTATTACCACCGCACCAATTTTATTACAATCTTTTACATTTTGCTTCAGTAAGAAAAGAAATAAATATAAAACACCTGATATTTTTATTGATATTTCTAAATATCAACATTCCAAAAATAAAAACTGTAGAGATTATCTGTACCAAAAAATATAATCTTACTTTCATATCACTGCCAGTAATATTTTAAATTCAGTAAAAACAATATAAAAATATGAAACTGTAAAATTACACGTGGGCATACTTGTATTTTTGAATACAGTTTATTGAATATATTTTAATAAAGTATTAAATATAATGTAGCAAAATTTATTTTAAAAAATAGTCTATCATCAAATTAAATAGAGAGAATTTTACAGAAAGTGTCAAGTGTTCCATTCTATTTATTTAGTCGATAAATTATTATCAGCAATTTGCAAAAGCAAACAGATAAGTTTTGTAAACATATCGAATAAAAATCGCATCACCGTAGGTGATTCCCGGCAATTAGAAAAACCTGAAAATATTTGATTTTCATAAATTTTGTTTATATTTACACAGCGATAAAAAATAACTTCTGGTACATAATTTCTCAGAATTATTTAATAGCATATATACACGTTACGAAATTTATATAGATGTAATAGACATATGTATTGTATTTTCTTCAGGTTAACCAGGAAGTTCAAAGGTTAAAGAAACGTTCCAGGAACGCCTTAGGAAATTGTCGCCGCTTCCATATTTATTAGAAGAAACAAATTAAAACTTCAAGAAGCCTTATCACAAAACAGATTGCTGAAAGAACAGCCGAAACGATAGCAGCTGAATTTGAAGAATTCAAGGTGTTAATCACATGTTATAAAGAAATTAAAATATTATCGTGCATTCGGAAAACCTTTAGAAAATTTTCTCAGTTGGAAAATTTAGAAGTTGACCGTTATCAATAATGGAAAGTTAATTTCCTTTTAGGAACATGCAAAAGCTATTGCAGAGGATGCAAGACGTGTCCGAAATTGTCAACAGCAGATGAGTGCTAAACAGATGTCTGATCAGCAAGTTACTGATGAATTACGAGCAGAAAATATTAGATTATCCGAAGAGGTACATGATATTAGCTAAATATTATATTTGATATTTTTCCCTATATAATTCTCAATCATAATTTTAATAAAATCCTGTTTTAAAATAACCACAGACAGTTTTGTTAAGCAATGCTTTCACTCAAATATTAAAAACCTTAAATATCCGAATTTGTAAAAAATTTACTTAAATCGTTATATATGTTAATATTAACCCTCTCCACTCGCTAATTCCAAGATTTATAAGAATTTAGCCGCCAGAGCGGCGACACCCGAGTGGAAAGGGTTAATATACATTTCTTGGTTTTATTAATTTAACTCATTTATCTATTTTCTCATTGATTTCAGTTAGCAGTGTATAAAGCAGCTGCAGAACAAACTGCAAAAAATGAACAGAGAACAAGGGAACTATTATGCGAATCAAAAGAATTGGTTTTAAAAATGGACCGAATGCAGAAAGACAATGCACATAAAAATGAAAAGTAATTAATCAGAATTTCAATGCCATAGCTTAATTAATTTATTATTAATAAATTAATTATTCTATTGCATTGAAATTCTGAGCAAGATATACAAGTTCCCTATTCAATCCTCTCTACTTGACATTATATCATAGTTAAAATTCTAATGACTTATCTGATAAAATATACAAATTATCAGATTGTGAAGACTGAAGGTAAATATATGTTTTTCTCTAGATATCGTGAAAGGAGTGAAGCCACAAAACGTGTAGCCTTAGCTAGAATATCTGAGCTAGAAACAAGCTTGGCGCAGGCAAGAGCAGCAGCTAATTGTGCTGCCCAAGAACACGAAGAACTCAGACGGGGTTTGCAGGCTAAAATTGATAAGCTTCGGTACTATGAATATAATAAATATAATTTTAGTAAAATTGTATTCTAAACAATGCAGATTATTATTATTTTGTTTTTTTTTATTATAGATTCGATTACGAGGACGCGATGTTGCGTATCAACGGCATGCAAGGACACGTACAATATCTGCAAGGATTGTCAGGCACTGATGATTTAATGGGAAAATTAAATTTACCTTCTGCACATATGCTAGCAGACCGTTACTTAAACGAAAGCAGCGAAATAATTGCAATAATGCCGCCAAAAGCAATGAATCAGGATGATGATCCTTGTCAACAGATTTAGCAAAATTAATAAAATGAGCAAAGCAAATTGTTTTAACACATATCCATAAATTCGAAAACTGCCTGTTAGAACTATAAGAGTTGTATCTATCAAATTGTCCTTCAATAAAATTTTTTATTAGCTTTTGTAAATTAGAATATTTTTTATAGACCGATCTCGTGATATACGAATATGCACAATGTAATATTTTTTATGAAATCTTTCAGTTCACCCTGAATTTTTGTGAAAGAGTTTCATCTAATAACAATCACTATCAAACAAAAAGCAATGTTATAAAAATATAACTTATAAATATATTTATAAATATAATTATTTAAACATTCTTAAATATAATATAAATAATTTTTGCTTAAATCTATATTACTTACACATACTAGGCGGTAGAAAAGTTATCTATTGTATTACAAGTGCTTATGATTAAATTAACAATTTGTTCCTCTTCTTCAATTCTTAGTTTTGGCTGTGATTTATTGAAAATAAGCTTCATATCCATTAGAAACTAAAAACAAAATATGGATTTTAATTAATCATGTGAAAATCATTGAAAAACAAATAAAATATTTATACATACTTTATCTACAGCTCGCATGTCTGAACTATATGGTGACTTACTATTAGGACTTAAAATATCACTTGAGTAGGATTTGACTATCTCAAGAATATTTTTTAAACCAGCTTCAAGATTTTGAATGCTTTTACTATCATGCTTATATTTTATTTCATATTCATATGGTATATCATTGGACGGGTTTGGTATTGTAAGACACCTGGGTCAATAATAAAGATATTTAGTATTTAATAATAATAATTTAAATCATGTAAAAATAAAAAATCCCTATTGTACAAGCAAACCAACCTCAATTCACCATTATGAGGCCCAATAATAATACCCATAAATGGACCATTTTTCTCAAAACAACATTGCATTTCTTTTTGAGTATTTAAGTCTTGTAAAGAAGGTAATGGTGGAAATCCAGGATGAGAATGAACCCAGCCTACTACGGACAACCCATCATTTGATATAGCAGTTACTGATTCCGATTGAGATACTATAAACATAAAAAATATTCTAATGAGATTGATTATAGGTTGTTTCGAAGCAATTTATTTATACATGTATAAATCTCATTTCATTTCTAAATTTATTTTATTTAAATTATTATTAAATGTAAATACCCTTTAAAAACATACCTGGACACATTTCACAATCTATTCGTGTTTGTTGAACAGTTTGGCAAGGTTGATATTTATTAACATATAATGTTTTAGATTTTACTTCATTACAATATATTCCACCAACAAGGCCCATTACTTCATTTCTGGAGGTAATTGAATGAAAGTTCATACAGAGAAGAGCAGATATTCCAATATGCACTTCAAAGGGTTGCTAACGTTAAAGAAAATGAAGTTAATAACAAAATAGTTTAATTTTATGCTAGCTTTCAGCACATACATGAAAACTTTCTGTAAACTTCGAACAGTTCATTAGTTGTCCACCATTCCTCTTATAATGAGTCCGAAGTCTTACTGTATTTTTTGGTGTCTCATTATCTTGTGAATGTGATATGGTGTAACCTTCGCTATCCTGCAAAAATAAAAGGTGTGACAAATTCCAAGCAAGTATTTCTTATAAGCATTAAGCTCATTACTTACATTTGCATATGTCCTATTTTTTTTTCTTACTCTTACTGGTTGACTAACTTCTAAAGATTCATTTTTAGTACTATTATAACCATTTATTATATTAGAATTATTTTTAAATAGATCTGACATTGGCCTTATGTAACAAGTTTGATCTAAAAAAAATATTAATGACCATATAAAAATTTTATATTGTGTTATTTATGACAATCAACTAAAAAGTATATAAAAGAGCATTTTAAAATTACCACAATTAAAATTTATGGCTCCTAATTGCTCTAAAACTGAGTGTATTCGGCCAATAGAATTAACATCGCCACAATTTTTCAGGCCTTGTCTTGCTTGTGTTTTACTTAAATAGTTAGGTCTAGTACTTTTCCATCTAGACAACATATAGTTCCTTATTTTTAAATATCTTTCTGGTGTTTTTGTTGGCCGGCCTAAAATATTAATTTACAAATTTTAAAAAAAAACATATTTATATAATTTGGGTACAATATATACAAACCATCAAAAAATTCAGAATTAAAATATTTTTCTAATTCAGATATACATTCAGAGTCAATAATATATTCAGATTCCGGTTTTTCTAAAGATTGTAATTGCTTTTTCAAATCAATTGATATATTAGGTTCAGCAACATCTGAATCTTCATCACTGTTTCCAACAGATTCGTTTGCTTCATCAGTTATAACAACTTCTTCATGAAAACAGTTAATACTATCCATGTCATCAATAATGGTTTCTTCTTCAAAAACATCATCTGAACTATTAATGCAGCCATCAATAGAGACACAATTTATGGATTGTTCTTCAGATTTTCCATTTTGAATTGTTTGGCTTGAATTAAGAATTGTATTGTTTTCAGTTGGTGCAGAAGTATCATCTACTTCAATATCTATCTCAGTATCACTATCCACATCTGATCTATTTTCAAGCTTTATCTTTAAAAGAAAAAAAAACAAATCAGTTCTAATAACATTTTAGCAAACAATAAATAAATATAATAATAAAAAAGTAATAGTTTATCAAATAAAAGTGTCATACCACTTCTTCAGACTCTGATATAGGCAAAGCTTTCCTCCTCCAGTTATCAAATGTAAGGTGTATGGGGGCTTTTCCGAGAACTTCATTTTATTTCTAATAATACTATTTCTTTGAAGTCTTGTTTTTTTCTCACTAAATTAGAACCACTATTCTTTATATTCTTTGACTTGGAAAATCTTTGTTTCATACTAGCTATTATACTTTCTTTAATACTAAGTTTATTAGGTTTAATTGCACTTAAACTTGATGGTTTTTTAAGATACTTTTGAAACACTGGTTTTAAAACACTTCTGGAATTATTACCTTTAACAACTGATTTCTGTCTCCAAGCATTATGAATAACTTTTTTAACTTCAGGATCATTTTGTTCCTTTTTTTCATGTTTTCTAACTGTGGTTTTTGCTGTACTGACAATACTTATAACTTCTTCAACGGAAGCTGGTATATCAACATCATCAAGCACTTCATCACCAATACTTTTGGTGTTTTGATTACATTTGACTTCACTAACATCTAAATTAACATGATTGGTGATCGTGTTTTCTAAACTCACTTCAGAAACTGCAATTTTTGTTAAATTTTTATTTTGAGAAACTTTAAGGTATTGTTTAACTTGGCTTGGTGTTTTAGATCCGATAAATTGGCTTAAGCACACTGGACTGCTCCCAAACAGTTCCTATAATTTCAAAAATTAAATAAGACATGATATAAATTTCATTGGTGCAACATTGATGTAATACATACTAGACCCCTTTCTAATAAAACAATTTCAGTAGTGGACCAACCCAATATTGGCTCTATTTTTGAAACATTCGGTCGTGTGGCTATAACATTTATGACAGTAGGTGGAGATATACTCTTTACCCGTTCATTAACTCTAAAATAAGATATTATTATAATTCTGAATAACAAATGTTAGTATTTAGTATTTGGCGAATATACTAATTTACTTTGTTGTTTCATCATTATAGAAGCAGGAAGATGATGAATCTAAGAGCCATTCATTGTGTGAATTCATTGAATAATCACATTGCAAAATATCAAGTTCTGAGTTTATATTAGATCTGAAAATTATAAAATATATATATAAAAACTTGATACTTGATAAATATATATATAAAAACTTGAAATAAAACTTGATTGGTTTTATGATTTACAAAACTGGTTCATTTCAGCTTACATTGCATTAGTTCCTGCCAGAAACCCATCTAAACTATAATCTCCTAAAATATCAATTTCGTCTTCTTCAGCCATTATAGGTTAATTCAATTAACTCATTTTGTGCAATTTTACAATAAACACATTTGTGCTAATATCTTTTAATTATTATTACACAACTGATAATTAATAACAAAATTAATAAAAAATACTTTATAAAATATTCATAAATATTCGTAAATATTATTATATTTTGACATAACTTTGTCATCAGGGTTTTCAGATTACACAATAGTGAAGTTGCATACGGTTGGCAACATTGTCACAAAAATTCTTTGACTTTTGAAAGTTAATCTGTCAAAACAAATTCTTAACGAACCTAAAAGAGGAATATAAAACTGGGTTAAATATATAGGTTAAAAGCGACGTAAACATAAATAAACAACATTCAAATTAGAAGATAAAATCTAGAAATTATATCCATTACTATGGATCCAGCATTGCTTCGTGAAAGGGAAGCGTTTAAACGCAGAGCCCTTGTCCTGCCAACGTAGGGTTAAAATACAAGAATATTTAAAAAAAATCATTAGTGCAGTTGTTAATTGAAATTTATTTATTGTAGTGTAGAGAAAAAGAAACGTGACGATGTTCCGCCGCCTAAAGATGAACCTCGTAAGAAAAAAGTTAAAACCTTTTCTTCAAGTGGCCCAAAATTGGATAGCACTAAGTAAGATCCTGTCCTAAAAGGAAACTGAATTGGCTAGCAGTAAAACTTGTTTAATATCAGTTCTAGTTTTGATCGAGAACATCATAAAAATTCTAATCCTATGATTAAAAATTATGGCATGCTCACCTTTTACTTAGTTGCAGGCACAAACCATAGCTGAAGTATAAGATATTTTTTATATTTGTTAAAAGTACGTAATATGTCGAGTTTTTTCCAGATTATTTACTTTCCCAGTATTATATTTTGGATTCAAAAAGCTACGAAAACCTAAGCTCAAGTATCATCCAAATTTTTCTAAAAATTGAACATATTCCACCTCTATAGCATTTAATATGCTACCTTTTTTCATAATATATAGATAAATATTTCTTTTTCCTGTATATGCAGTTACAAGACTATGAGTGGTAGCTCACAATATCGTTTCGGTGTCTTGGCTAAAATTGTAAAACATATGAGACACGCCACCAAGAAGGTGATGATCATCCTCTTACATTAGAAGAAATTTTAGATGAAACAAATCAATTAGACGTAGATTCTAAAGTAAAGCAGGTCAGAATTCTGAAAACTTTAATAGAAACATAATTAAACCATTTTTATAGTTGCACAATTAATAATTCTATATTTGTAGTGGTTACAAACTCAAGCATTCCCAAACAACCCTAAAATTGAAGTTTCAGTTGATGGAAGATTTTCATTCAAAGCTGTTTATAAAATCAAGGACAAAAAAGTTTATTGAGGTAATTAAACACTATATTTTTACGTATTCATAATTAGAATTCGTTTGTAAATAGAAAATTTATCTACTTGCACAATAACATGTTACAGATTGCTTAAACAACATGATCTGAAAGGCCTTGGAGGAATATTATTAGAAGATGTTCAAGAATCATTACCCCATTGTGAAAGGGTTCTAAAAAGTTTACAGAATGAAATTATATACATAGTACGGCCAATGGATAAAAAGAAAATCTTATTTTATAACGACAGAACAGCTGCAATAACTGTGAGTAATTACTCAAATGCAATTCTAGTTTAAAATTGTTATGTGAAATAACTAAAAAAATAATTATAGATAGATGAAGAATTCCAGAAACTTTGGCGATCTGTTGCTGTAGATGCCATGGATGATGCTAAAATTGATGAATATTTGGACAAACAAGGTAATGTATATTTTAGGATAATAAAGTTTTATAAAAAAAATCAGCACTGAATAATTTATTTCAAAATTTAATAGGCATCAAATCAATGCAAGACCATGGGCCTAAGAAACCAATTATACCTAAAAGAAAGAAAGGCATTCAGAAGAAAAGGCAATTCAAGAAACCTCGTGATAATGAACATTTGGCAGATGTTCTAGAAACTTATGAAGATAATAATATAACACAAAAACCAATTAATACATAAGATATTAGACATAGGGATAGATATTTGATAATTCACTTTGTAAATAAATACAAAATTATTTTTATGAAGGCAATAAAATATAATTTAAATAATTTAGGTAATTATTTTAAACCTTTGATATAAGAATATAAATATCCATTTTGATCATAAGATCTTTATATTAAGAATAGTACAAACAGTATAATTTTTTATTATATATATAATCTATTTCAAATCAAATTTACACAGTTTTAATTATTATTCTATTCTGTAGGTGACCAAGCATCTTTATAATTTTCTATAGTCATTGTTTTATATCTTCGAAGAACTACAGCTAAATCTTCATCCTTTGGAGTTGCTGAAAGAATTTCTACTCTCGAAATAAGTAGATGGTCCTTGTTGAGAGGACTTGGTCCTTTTACAATATCAATCTCATCACCAATTTCTAGTTGAGCACTCTTTTTAAGTAACTTTTGTCCATTGACTCTGATTTTACTTTCGTAGAAGTGGGTTTCTATTTTGTTTCTTGCTAGATTTAAGCCGCTTTTTAGAACTAAATCAGCTCTAAGGGAATTTAATTTGGTTTTTACAATTTTGGAATCTCTATCACTTGTGAACTCTTCTTCTTCATCTGAATCGGAATCATATTGTTGAGTTTTTCCTTTTTTGTCGTATTTAAAACGTATGTTTTGGACCAAAGGTTTTGGAGGAATTGATTTTATATAATTTACATGTGTAATTCCCAGGCTAACAATACTTGTTCGAAAAGCTAATGTTGAGTAAAATGCTTTGGAGCTCGATTTATGAACAATACGCCCGACAATAGACGTTGCCATTTTATAATTAAAAATAATATTTGATAACCAAAAATTTATTTAAATCTTCACTCATTTTTACTTTGACAACTTTTGTGTGTGTATGGCAATACTACTACTGCTCAATACAATTTCAACATACACAATTTTTTCATATGTTTATTATAATATATTTTTAACAAAAATGGAAATAATACAAACCTAGAAAATAAAAATGAGTGATCTTCAGTACAAGAGTCTTATTAATTAAAGGTAACTAATACATTCTTAATTTAATGTAACATAACCTTGAAAAATTGATAAAATCTAAAATTTGGTACTGTAGTTTGAAAATTCTTATTTATGATAAATAAATAGACTTATGTATGGATTCTTTCACTTTTATTAAATTGTAAACATTTGCAAATTCATTAACAACAGGTAAAATTTTTGCTTTAAAGCAATCACCCAGTTTTGCTAATTTTTTCAAACAAGTTTCTGGATTTGGTTGTTATAAATGAATAATCATTTTATATTATAATGCCTTTAGTAAGGTTATTAAGTCTATAATATCGTTAAAAGTATTATTAAAGTGTAAATATTAATTTTCGAACTAATTTTTCCGAGCTTGAAAACGAGTCCTTTTATTGAGGTCCTGTCAACGCGTTCATTTCAATTTAATATAGTTTGTTCTGTCATCTTAAAAAAATGATAAAAACTTTAAAAAATAATAACATTTTCAAGATTGTTATTAATGATAAATATATAATTGTGTTTGGAATTTTTCATTAGGAATTTGGAATTTCACCTAGTTCAACCTAGGATAAGAAAAACCTCAGTTCCATTTTTTGACAATCAGGTAGAGATTTTTTTCTAGTTTTTGTGCTAAAATAATCATCAATAAGGTGATTAAGTGTATAAATCAGCGATTTTATGTATAGTTTCATATAAGAACGTTGAATATTAATTTTTATATCATTTTTTTCTGACAAGTACAGAGTGTCCAAAGGAGTCCTTCTAATTGATAGGGTCCTGTCAGTGTTCCATTAAAAATACTGTATTTTGTTCTGGTATCTTGCAAAATTGACAAAACCCAAAATTTGGTACTCTAGTATCAAAGAGATATTTATAAATCCTCTCACTTTTACTAAATATTAAATCTGTGATTTCCAACCTGCGGGGCGTGCCCCCTCAGGAGGACAAGCAGCTGTATCCAAAAAGTTTTCCAATAAACACCAAAAAAGTCGATTTAATGAAAATAAAAATTGGACTAGTGGGGTGCATGGCATCATGCCTTAAAGCAAATTGCTCGAACTTCTCGTACTGTAATTAAAAATCTTGGTACGGAACCCAAAACAATATACACAAAATGTGTACCCTTTATTAAATTCTCTATAAAATATCTGATAATTTGATGTCCAATAAACATTTTTGACCGCCAAATGACATTTTTTAAACTTATTTTTAAGCCTGCCTTCCCAAAAATTTAATCAGCTCTTCATCTTATCAATACAAGTACAATGTTTTTTGAATGATTAAAATCGGACGCTCCGTTCTCTCAAAAACTGAGTTACCGCTTTTGGTACTTTTTGCCCCATATCTTCGGGGCTAGATCTGCCTTCGCCAAAAATTAATCAGCACGTCTCCATATCAATACGAATCGAATGTTTTTTGAATTATTCAAATCGATTGATCGGTGTTCTCGAAATCGTCGACGAAAATTTGTATCCGCACGCACGCACACACACACACATACAACCATTTTATCTAAGGTATGCCAAAATGTTCAGAAACCTCTAAAACGTAAAGATATACAAAAAAAAAATTATTTTCGATTTTTTTGCGATTACTATAACTTGCCCTACGGAAAGTTAATGAATAATCATTTTTGTAGACCGATTAATAAATTATATTAATCAGTCGAGTCTTCATGAAATTAGATTAGAAAAATTAAGGGTGCGCAACATTTTTTTTCGAAAATGGCGGATGGTGTCGGGGTCCGAAAAGGTTAGGAACCTCTGCGTTAAATATTTGTAAATACTTTGAACAGGTATAACTCCGTCTTTTTTGTTTGGCAATCACGTTGTGCATTGTTTCCATTATGTTGTTTTGAATTGATAATAATTTGTTTTCATTAATAATAGTACATTATGAGAACTTCAAATTTTTTAGAGCTATTTTTTCCGGCATTTATTTTAGATCCTGTCAGAGAATCCATTA